GATGGACCAATCCTTTCTTTCAAGACACCAGTCTAAACGATTTTTCCTTTGTCGATCATTAAGAAGAGGTTTAACTGCTGGTACACGAGAAAAGTAATTAAGGTCATGCAAATTTCTTGTAATAGTTTTCGCAGAAGCATTAAGTCCAGTTTTTTCATTGAATGTATTTGTAATTCGTTCAGCTGATTTACGGTTATTATTCTTAACGATTTGTTTTAATGTTCGTTGATGCTCAAAACTATACGTTTCCTCCAATTCTTCCAAACTGGTCAACCATCGAGCGCGGAGGTGAAATTGCTTTTGTTGAGCTGCTTGTTGTTTTTTTTTCACTGTTTTTTCTCAAAAGTTTTGGACAACCACTTCGCGGCTGAGTTACAAGACTGTTTCTTTTTTGAAAATTTTGAATAGTTTTGATAACTGTTGTTTTAGAGAAACCAAGCGTTTTTTTAATACTGGCTTTTATAACACCGGCTTTGAAAAGGCCAATAATTTGACCATGTTCAGCTTCAGTTAATTCAGACATTTTAAGTCAACGATTTAAAATTACCAATCAGTCATTTTATGTTTACAAAAACAAAAAAAAAGTTGTAAACAATACGTAAAAAATGTGACGCGTTTTTTCAATACCCAGAGCATAACGTAAAAAAATTTCTGCCTTGTTTATCCCCATTTCCCAATAATTCCGCGGTGTATGACTTTATTTCAAATAGTGTATACTGTTACAAATCACGAATACACGGTAAAGTCCGCTTTAACGAAGAGCTCCGTTCCGCAAAAAAACTTCGTTAATGCGGACTGTTCGACTTCTACCTATATAACAAACTTTCATTATAACCACGTGATATTCGTTAAAGTGGGATTTATTCGTTTACTTCTGTACTGACATACAATATTTCCTTCTTCATAACAATTGTAAAACTCAGGGACGTTTTTTGGGAGAAGATTCTACACCTAACAATGGTGAGGCTTGTTCCTCACAATCACTTGCAACCTGAATGGGCGATTAGACATCTTTATTACATGCAGTGTATTGTTTAAATCTCTATATACAGTAATACTACACAGTGCAATTCACTTTAACGAAGTCTCGCTTTAACGAAGATCGCTTTATAACGAAGTTCTTTCCAGAACGGATTCATACACTTTATATAAAAAGACAGTTTACTTAAGCAACCTTTCAAGTTAACGAAGCAAAGTCGTGGAACGAATGTCTTCGTTAAAGTGAATTTCACTGTGTGTAACGAACTTCGTTATAATGTTAATATTAATGCTAATTTAGGCAATCTTCGTTAAAATGAATGGTTTATCTTATGAAATTTCTTTGTTATATCGTTATACAGATTTTAATTATAAATATTCGTTAAACTGGGCGCTAAGCATATATTAATATGAATGAATCGGTTCCTGAAAAAGTCGTTATAAGCAGCCTTGGTATATATTTGCTCCATTCAGAATTCAATGGAATAGAATGATGGAGCTTGTACTCTATTGGCTCCATTGGCTCCATTGGCTCAATTGTGGCACAGTAATTTTGTTGGCAATGGAGTATGTTCCATTGCTCCATTAGTGAATGGAAAAGTTGCCTTTTTAGGATAACCAATAATAATGGCCAATAAAATGTCAAAGCGTCATCTCATCTCATCTCATCTCACGGTTTAATATCGCGTGTTTTATTTTGTGATATCCAGTGGCTTACCATCCATTAGAGCAATGGAGCATTGGACTGAAGCAATGTTCCAGTAGGTCATGTGACTGCACTAACTATGGTCACATGATATTAAACCGTTTATAAGACTGTAATTGGAAAAAAATAGAGCTAACTACTGAACGACGCGGAGCCATAATTTATTGTCATAAACATGGTGACAGCTATGTATGGAACCATTTCAGTGACGTTATAACACTATTTGTAAATATAAAAACCGCCCATCTAATTTCCAATACGTTAAAAAAGCATGATAGTATGCCACAACGAAACCAAACTGTAGCCCAACTAAATACTAGTTACTTAGTACAAAATGTAAATTTTTACTAAGTCTAAATAAAGTTTTTAAAAGTGTTCAGAAACTTTTGTTATGTCGCAATATAGTACATTAAATTTCGAGTTAATGTTTGTAAACGTAATCCTAGCGAGATTATATGAATTTAAGGTTTGGCGAGATATATTCAAATTTTCAACCGGGTGGAAAATTCTTAAATGAATGAGAACGTAACCATTGGTCAACATTTGTAGGGCAATCTATTGAACAACAAAATTCGATTTTGGCTGTATTTTCATTTATATTCCTTCCAAAGCGATTCTTAGGCCTACAGGTTTTTCGAGCGGATACCCAATAATTCACATGCAAAGGTAATATTTATTTGTACACTCACTGGCCAAAAGTATTTGCTGAATGTACCGATCAATGAAAAATCTCTTTTTTGAAAATCTTTATTGTACGTATTCACTATGTGAGTCACAGTGATTTTGGTACCGTTGTGAAGCTAAGTGGTGATATATTCAGCCCCCTTATCTTTCTGAAGCTGTGGTTCGATGAAATGGCAGTATCTATGTCACACATATGAAATGTATGAAAATCATATGTGACTTCCATTTCATCGAACAACTCCTTCGTTTATACAAGTGGCTCTCGATATAAGAACCCTTCGATATAAGAAACTTTCGATATAAGAAAGTATTTTTGCTGGACCCGATTTAAAATCTTATAACAAATGACTCTCGTTATAAGAGATTTTCGATATAAGAAAGGAATTTGTTGAGCCCCGATCACTTTCTTATATCGAGAGCCACTTGTAGTAACTGTTTGAAATTTTGCATTATTATTTTTCGAAAAGTATAGTTAATTAGCTTCAAAACGATGCAAAATTTATTCCAACTTACATAGTACATACAGACAAATAAAGTTTTCGAAAAAAGGATTTTTCATATGTTTTACTAATTGATAATCGTTACTATGAACCAAGACATTTTATCATATTAAACGGCGTAGCATTCCGTTAAACCGACGGTTAAGTCTTTCATATAGCATCTTCACGACCAACCTTTTAAAATACAGAACCGTTAGCATTACAAAGGCAACAGCACAAAAGGTAAATTGCAGAATTGTAATCGAATCAAACGAACGTATAATAACTCATCCCTGAATTTTGACACCACTTGTGTGGAAAAACAAATCTGCGTGCAGCGATGCGTGCACCAATCAGGATTTCGGAAATTATAAACTCTTTAGTTACCAGTTATCTTAAATACGCTTCGCATGACTAACATCTAAAGCCTTTGCCCTTTAATTTGATCTCACGTTTTTATTAGCACGTAGGCAGCATTCTCAATGGCTCAAGCTGTTAGCAGTAACTTGGCTGCTTCCAATGTTTCAGATCATATTATCTGGCGCAAATGGATTTTGCGATGCTTTGCGGTTACTCTTTGTATCTTGTTTTGGAATATAACAGTCTACAATTCTAACGAAGAAACAACGGATGATTTTGACAAAAAGGTATTTCCACAGTGGCATCATAACGGCCAACAATATATATTTAGCCAATAGATTAGGCGATGTAGATTCATATAGTGCGTTTCGAATCATGAGTAAAATCCAACTTTGCAACTGATAATGAGGAATGCGAGAATATAAGCTGCAGCTTCTGGTATTCTATAACAAAGGTACATAATAATAACTAAAACAAAAAAACGTTATGCTTTCTTTTTCTTTCCACCAACTGTAGGTGCAAATAATCGACACACAGCCAGCATCCGTGGATATAGATAATTACATGACAGAAGAGCAGATAAATCTTAAATATTGTGGTTCTCCCGTGTGTCAGTTTATGCTTCCAATATACGTAGCTGAACAAGAATCTAGAGCACGACTGCACGTTAGAAGTCTAACTATTCTAGCTCAAGAAACCGGTCGGGTGTTAGTCTTACCTAACGTTGAAAATGCACTAATTGGTACATGCCAGACTTATTCTTTCGATTATTACTATTCCATCGAAGCAATGCGACAGTCTTCGCCAAACATCACATTCATTACGCAAAGCCAGTTTCTTTCGTGGAACCAAGAGATGAAAGCGATCAAGGCTAGAATTCCCACGGTAGAAGTTGTCAAATTGAACAATACTCACAGAAACGGTCAAGACAGGATTGTATCTGAACAGATAAATTTGGAGGCCTATAAACAATATAACTGCCTGGAACCATTCGACTACTTATCATACAAAGACATTCAAGAAACTGATATAACAGTGTTCAGTTTAATTGCTAGAAAACCAACCGAAGAGCAAGTTGTAACTGCTGTCGCGGTCGCACAATTTGTAATTAACAGTCTAAGGTTGATCCAATCAGATGTCATATTCATGCACTACAATTTCTATAGATTTACTTGTTTACAAGTGCAACATTTACCTGCACCGCTCCAATATGCCGATCACCTGATTGAGCGGGCAAAAACTGTGTCAACCTTCCTTCATCCATATATCGGCATTCATTGGCGGATGGAAACGGCTAATCCGGAAAAGCTCGTTAACTGCAGTATTCAATTAATAGAATATATCCAACGTATTAAAGAAGAAAAAGGAATAAGAAATATATACTTTGCTACGGACTATCCGATTGATGGCGGTGACACTCATTCAGGGACATTTTTGGAACTAACAAAAGATCATCATAGAGCAGCGAAAATGCTTGCAAACAATCTAGACTTTTATACTTGGCAACGCCTCAATGCTTCACTTTTCCCTTTCAAAAATGACAAATTCGTAGCGATTGGTAAAAAACCTGTTAATAAGGAAGGATTGGGCGTGTTGGCAATATGGGACAAGTTAGTTTTGATGCATGCTAATTGGTTTGTCAGTGGCCCACCCGGATGTTGCCGAATAACGAGTTCCTATACTGCCCAAGTGGTGAAAGCCAGAGGTGTATTTGTGGAGGATCAAGAAATTTCCAGTGGAGAGCCACCGAAAGATGCTTTGTTAAATCTTTGGGATACGTGGTAGACATTAGAAGATATATAATAGAAATTGAATTGGGGTGACTAACATTTAAGATCCAGCAAATTATGCCTTTATTCAATTGTCTGTACAATTTCACGTGTTGTAATTATCGACAAATTCCTAATAGTTTGGTATTCTAAAGGAAAATTAGTCACTTTATTATTTTTGTTAAGTTTAATAAGTTTCATGAGTTAACATACACAGAAAGTAGATTCTACTTGCCAAAGATTCAAAACGCATAGACAACCTTGAAGAAAAGGTTGATACGGGTAATATAAATGTATTTAATATTAATTTGATCTTTGAGGCATAATTGCCACAAACATCATAGTAATGACACTACAACTATGAAATACAGTGCTTCTAAATAGATTAAGATACAGTGGGATCCCTAAGTGCAATCTCTCCAAATGCAAGTACTATATTTCCCTCCTTAAAATGCAATAATTAAGTATTTCACTCTCTATAAACGCAAACCCTATTCTCTCCTGAATTTCTGTATTCCTCCGACGGGTGCAGCATGGTACATCGTTGTTGTAGTACGGAAATAATAATACCATCGCTGTAACAATAGCTTAGATAATTAGTAATAGCAGCTAAAAATAGATCAATTAGTCCGCTCAAAAGATATATATAAGTAGCGTAGATTTCAGTTAGATAGGTCAGTGCTACTTTCGATTCCTTTATTGTGAATAAACGAGTAGTTCTTTATACTCTGAAAAATACAGTGTTAATGATTCATTCCCTGGTACTTATCGGAAACCGCTAATCCCTATATCGATGAAGAATAATCGCCTCTTGTCCCCGAGTGGCAAATTACGATAATTAATTGTTATGTAGATATGCGCATTACTATAATAATTATACTATTGCTAGACTAAGAATCAATCCCATCTCAGGAGCCGACAGAGATACTCGAGTGTTCAGGATTAGCGTCACTCTACGACGGGAAGGTTTTCGCAAAGTCTTGATTGGACAAAGTCCGAGGTTTACCTATGCCGAAACTAGCTAAATTCCTAGTGTCTTGCTCTCCCGTGATAGTCGGCACGACACAAGTCATGTCTGATTTAGCCATATATGGTATCCCGTCGTGTGCACTTAGTATTAGGGAGATCTTACTCAAGAACCTCGTAATTAACAACCCCGTAATTAACCGTCCCCTTTTCCTTATGTTTAGTATATACAGCCTATGTAAAGTTATAGACTTTTTTGTTAAAGAAACGTTTTGCGGTGCCAAAAGTCTGTCGATTACGATAGCGAAACATTAGTCTTGAGTGTCTGAATCATAATGTTTCTTATTAACTGATGAATGATTTTAATTTTTAATGCCAAGAATAATAAAAAGGGCTGAGTATTATTCATTCGCTTGTTCCCGTGAGATTTGCATACGAAGAACCTTATTTTGAGGATAGTCAATGATGCAATGTGCATATCCGTGTGAGGTGATGCAAAAGAAGGATTGGTCACGAAACATTCCGTGAAAAAAAACAAGCATAAATAAAGAACGATATGCATAGTGATTTTTAATACATACCGGATACTTTAAAAAGCGCTATGATGTTGATCAACTTTAGTTGTTACAAATTCAATTTATGGATATGTAGTTATGAATATTCTATGACTACAAGGACGTCTCTATTACTATTGCGAGGGACTTTAATAACGTCTCTATTACGGCTGTCCTGAATTCTTTGTCAATACATCAATTGATTGCTACAACACAATTACATGAATAAACAGTTCATGATGCTTCAACACAAATATCACCAAACAGTCTCTGCTGCTTTCAATTGTCGGTTGTCTGATACAGTAGTATTAAAAATTTCACCCGTCACACCTAAGTTTTGCTAACAATGTAGAGGTAGAACTTATATCACTCATGTTAACGAACATTTTTATAGCGTTGCTCCATTTTCTAATGGCTATTCCAATCTGACAATTCAACTTTAATCATCTCGTGTTTTTTTAAATGTCACCGCGAATATGCCAAGCATGGAAAGCAAGCAGTGCTTTATACAATATACAAAAACCGGGGAACAAATTTCCTGAAATAAACGCAGACAACCATATCCAAGCGTGATGGTGTAATCAAAACAAAAACAATTGTATAGTGGCTCAAGTTTGTATGACAAATAGCATACGTCTTTTAAACATCGTGGTACCTTTTTTTTTTCGACATGAGAGAACCCTAAACTGTAATTTGAATAAGCAATGGCAAAGGAAAAAGACTTCATTCTGCGATTGTTTGACGGCTCTCATTCAAGAATGGGCATGAAGGCAGATAACATAGTGACCGCGCATTTTAGGTTCATAGGCTGCAGATTTATACTCGCCAATCACAGCGATTTAAACCCATCTTATTTCGTAAGCGTAAAGTTATTATTACTATTATTATAGAAATACTTGATAGCGGGAAGCCAACAAAGTGACTGCATTTGCAATTAATGATTAGAACCTATCTCTTTGGTTGGCTACAAAAGTCTAAGCTTCATAGCCTTAATCAGATCTCTTATATCAATGTGCCAAGAAAAAAGTCGCTTGATAGTGACAACACATTTAGAATTGCTCTGTGATTCAATTATACTATATTATGCACTTCATCATGACACAACAACGCCCTCGTATTAAATTTTTCTAGTGATGCAAGAATATGCCATTGCTTGGCGACTTCTATTGCGAGTGACTTTTTTGCTTGGCGACTTCCCCAGCCAGTAAAATAATAAGATATGCCTTCACGTGTCATTTTATGTAGCTTCATTATAAATACATTCCATCCCACAGACAATCCTGTCCCTTTTGTTTTATGCTTCCAAACACCAGTGATACACCATGAAAAACTTAGGTTTGAATCCTCCGGAAAGAATAATTCGCTACAAATGGGTGATACGAATTGTCGTGGTCATTGTGTGCCTCGCCTTCTGGAATATGGTCGACTATAATATACGTGCGCTTAAAGCGGCAGCGGCCCGCTCTGAGGAAGATGTAAGTGTCCTTAATTACGAAGAAGTAATATTCCAAAAGGTCTTGCCCGAAGTTGGTGACTGATCATTCTTTTGGGGGGTGGTAATACAACAACGAATATTAGATATTTTCTTTTTGCCAACTTACTTAATTGGGGTAGCAGTAGTACAATAGTTCAAGTAATACTAATATAAAATAATGACATATTTAGTAAGTTAAATAGTTAAATGTTATCTTGTCCGATTTAGTATTATCAATGATATCATAGGCAATCATGGTGAAGTAATCGATAGACATTATTGCCTATTGACTACCGCCAAAAAGTTAGTTAGAAATAAAGGATTCCTAATTTAGTATTAGTATTTTGTGGACATTCAAAGAGGAAATTCAATTACCCTGTTCACAGATTATCTACGTTGCAATAGATCAGATATATTTTTATTTCTAATAATAATAATATCCTTTTAATTGCAGTCAAACTACTATTATTTTGACGAACCCCTTCAAGAAATGTTTATTAGTCAAGAAGTAACTGATATAGAAGAGCAGACAAATCTGAAGTATTGCGGCGCTTCCACATGTCGGTTTTTATTTCCAGTTTTTGTAAAGGAGCAAGAGTCCAGGGCACGACTACACATGAGGCGCATAATGATGTTGGCAAAAAAAACCAATCGAGTATTAGTCTTACCTAATGTCGGGGATGCAAGACTAGGTGCATGCAAATCTTTTCCATTCGGTTTTTATTACTCTATCGACGTAATTCAACAGTCTCCGAACATCAGAGTTATTACACAAAGTCAATTTCTGTCGTGGAACCAGGAGATGAGAGAAATAAATGCGAAAATACCTACAGCAAAGATTGTCTCGTTAGACTGTAGTTACAAGATTAAAAAAGAGCACATGGAGTCGAAGCGAATCAATCTCGAAACGTACAAAAACTACAGCTGCATGCAACCGTTCTCTTTGGATTACGAAGACAAAATGCTCGACATACGAACAAGAAAAACGTTTAAAGACCGAGCTCAAATCGCACAATTTGTTACCGATGGTCTTCGATCGGTTCAATCAGATGTCCTACTAATGCAATATAGTTTTACCAGATTTAATTATCCAAATCTTCACCGAATGGCTCCTCCACTTAAATATGCGGATCATCTTATTGAGCGGGCGAAGAGTGCTGCATCATTAATACGCCCATACATTGCCATTCATTGGCGGATGGAATCGGCAGAGGCGGGCAATCTAGTTAATTGCAGCGTTCGTCTTGTGAAATATATAGAATGGATTAAAAGAGAGACGAAAATAAAAAATGTGTATATCGCTACGGATTATCCTTTTGATGGTGGTAGGGCTCATTCAGGAACATTCCATTCACTTACGAATGATCACCACAAGGCAGCAAATGTATTGAAGAACAATCTCAACTTTTACACCTGGACGCACCTCAATTCTTCTCTGTCAACTTTTAACAACACAACATTTTTATCGAATAAGGAAGAAGCTCCTAAGGAAAGGGATCGTGAAGACTCTGGAATATTAGGAACACTCGATAAGTTGATGTTGGTGCACGCTAATTGGTTTATTAGTGGCCCACCTGGGTGTGCAAGAACGCAGAGTTCCTACACTGCCCAAGTACGAAAAGAAAGATTTGCACGAGTGAGAGAACAAGCGACTGTCGATGAACTATCAGAAAACGATTACTTGTTGAACATTAAAGATATGTGGTAGATAATACAAATGTACACTGTAAAAAATCGAATATATTAATACAGCCAACCCTCTCTAAATGCACACTCCGTAAATGCATTGCACGGTTTTTTCCATATGTATCTTATGTATTACTCTCGCTATTACATCTGATTTCTAAATTTAATGTTGGACAAACGACAAAGAGGGCAATGTCGTCATTTTAACGATTGGATATTGATAATGTCGAGCTAACACAAATAGTGCGCCAACGTCCAGAGAGCTGTTAATGATCTTAACTTGCCTGATAGTCTGCGGATCGATGAGTTCTTAAATTATCCTGAAGAAGGAAGAACTTATGAGGTGCCTGACAATAATACGTTGATTGAAGAACTTATTGAAATATACAAACAACCATGTTGATGGTGACATTGATGATAGTGTTGAGCCACCGACAATTAATGCCAACGATGCTGCAAATGGTTTAGAAACTGTTCGTTCGTTTCTGCAGCAACAACAAGACTCTAAAGAGTTGCTAAAACATGTGAGAGTGCTTGAACGTTACATTGGTTTAAAGGCAGTGAGTGAAACAACGATAGTAATAGATGAATAAACATATATAAAATCATGTGAAACCAATAAAATTCTGACCCTCTGCACGTTCCAGCTCATCCCAAGGGCATTTAGAGAGAGGGTTGACTGTAGGTCAATATTTAATTAAACCCTGTACATTACCATTTAATAACGTTGTGCCCCGTTCTAGGATTTGATCCGTTTCGGGATTGTCACATTAGAATAATCTCTTGCAATAAACTACATGATTTATGTGATAGCGTCGAAAAAATATGTGACAATCTTGAAACGGGTCAAACCCTAACAATAATATCACAATTGGGGACGTCAAATTTTATTGGCGAAGACAATAATTAATGTGGGGGCTGAAGCTGAATACGGTGAATTCGGAAAAAAGAAACCCGTTAGTGCTACCAAATATACAATTAGGAGGGCACGAGGATTTGATCGATAATTGTACTGCTGTTGCATTATTAATCTGGGATGCGGCCTGTATCTTCTTTGTACCTCTTACTCAAATTCAAAGTCGATAGGAGTGGGTGGTGCCCGAAGGTGGTCTCTATGATTCTAACTAATTGCTACGCTGCCCATCACATTTTGCAATCCTTGGTTATTATATGGGGCTGCAATAAAATCAGACAAAGTGAACATTCATCATAAAATGGCTGGTGTGGCTGGGAAGTACAACATCCATAAAACTGATAACATGTTTAATATATGATTATGAAATCAGTATCTGATTTAGTCCTTGGTCTCCTACACCTGCTGCACTTTAATATTTGCGCTCTTGACAAGCTCAATTAATTTATGGGTTAGTTTGCTATGAGTTCTGATTTGACAACCGCCTTATTACAAGTGACTCTGGTTATAACGACACTCTCGAGCAACGAAAAAAGTGTAGTTGTCGTTTATCCAGAAACTTATCGCCAATTTTTGAATGAAATGGTCTTCGGTCGTTTTATCCAACTGTCGTTATAACCAGAGTCACTTGTATTATCACTAAAAAAGTATAATACAAAATTCTATTTCAATCTGTAATGTGTTCTAAACATTTTGAGGCTAATTTTTTCGTATAATTAAGAAATCTTCTGTCATCCCTTCAGCAGCTATATTGTCTAGTTTGCCTTCATCTAACTATTCTTACTTACCACCGGGATATAGGAACAACTATCTTCACAGTGAGTTTAGGATTTTTAGTTTAAAGTTCTCTTCTGCTTGTTTGATTGTACTGTATATATTTATCTGCCAGTTGCTTTTTTAATGCTTTGATTTCGTTTATTAGTGCTTTATTTGCCTATTGTTATCCATTTTTTAAATAAACTCGTGTCATTTTTATGAGGGTATATTAAGTATATAATTATTTTAAAAAAATTTTATTTAAAATGGAAAGCTATCAATAATTAGACCGATAACTTAGGAAATTAACAAGTATTGAATTTATGGAGAGAATTTTAGTCTAAATATTTTATTCGTGTTTATAGGATTTTTATTTGTAGCAATGAGAAGATTACGCCTAATGTAAGAATATATGTACTTTTCACCAGTCATTTTTTCGTAACTTTCCAACATATCTTCGCTTATATTATAAGGGGACGCTTCCATTAGTTGATATTTTTTACTTATCCAGTGAAACTCCCACCTCGGGTGGAGCGTGGTATATTTCGCGAAAATTATGTCTATAGTGGCAATCGACTTTATAAATTGTTGCTTTTCCCCAGATGGGTTTGAGTGCACATCTCGGTTCTATGTCGAATCTGCTTGCCGTTTCTCGGGCAGAATGATGACGATAATAGTAATAAATGACAATAAGTTTTTCCATTGCTGACCGTTTCTGCGAACTTTCTTAGTGACACAAAAACGTCTTGCAGGCCTGTTAGCGCAAACCATGGTATTATAACGAGGAGGAGAACACGAATCCGTTACGCATGGGCAGTCTTAAATAAACACTATGGGGGTTTTAATGTATTAATTACCATGGTAAAATACCCCCCTTAAAAAGAGTGAATGTAAAATACCCGGGGTACTTTAGTCAGCGGTCTACAGTAGTTTTCTTTGTTCTTCTGCTAATTTTGTATTCTTTTTCTCTATCTTTGAATATTAGCTAGCCTTAACCAGATGTTCTTTGTGTTTTTCAGTACATATTTTGCTTCCTCTTTCTTGCGAGCATATATTGACACGCGTCGCAAAAATCCGTTCTTGGACTCATGGTCCGAATGTAAAGTGTTAATTGGTGCCATACCTTATATTTAACGTGCTATTGTGTTCAAGACCTGCGATAAAAGCTCGATAGACCGATTCATAACTCGTTTCTGTTGGCAGAGATACGTGCAATGTAATTCGGTTAATGTTCCTCCGGAACTTGGTAATCCATGAACTTCAGCATAGTTTGTTATATCAATTGTGGTATTTGTTTTACAGTATATTTCCATAAGCACGCGGTATTATACAATTTTCGTTGCCAGATAATTTCTGACGTTTCGAGGTAAATGCGGCCAATTCCTAACACTCAAGATAAGTTTTCTGGCAAAGAGGTGTATGGCAATTTCAGTAATAAAACATTCTCTTATTAGTGCGCGATTGCTTTTTACTGAGTCATTACAAATATATCTTGCTCAGGTCTGGAGAGAGCTTGAAATACCTCACTAACACAATTGCAATTAATACCAAGAAACGCATGGCTTTTAATATTCGATAAAGCCATTATATTTTGTTGTACCTCAGTTGGGGACCTGTCTCAGTTCTGGACTGAGACAGGTCCCGAACTTAGACACAACATATTCATTGCTTTCGTACAGAAACACGAATTTTATATTTATATATTATCTACATGTGCGTTTAAATGGAACATTATTTTTTGACAATTGCGTTGGTTGAAATTTTAAATCGATTGACTGTAGTTTCAACATTTGGTTTTGCTTGTGCGCCAACCTTGCCATGGTCAAAATGTAGTGTGTCGGTACAGTTTGCGTACTTTGAACTGTGAGCGGCAAGAGTACAAGATTAGAAATTAATTCATCTGTCAAGAATCAATCTTTTTTTTTCCAAGCCAGCATATTATCAGTATGCAGTTAACTAAGTCGAAGAATTTGTCATTTAAATGCTAACTATTAAATAACTGTATTGCTGTTTAATCAAGATGAGGCAGACGTGTACAAAAGAAATAAAAAATACAGTAATGACAGAAGAAACGCAAATAATGTATGGCTTGTGAACGACTCGTTTTTCCCTACAGACCCCCACCAAAGTGCCTAGTATCCGAGCTTAAGGAACGGTCTTTTCCTAATTCATTTCGACCTAACGGAATTCACATGGTAGTATTAGAACAGAAATTCTTATCGGAGAATTGTCTGCATACAATCAACCTCTCCATTTTTACATGTGAGTGTTACTTTAGTGATGACCCAAATTCTACAAAACAAACTTTTTCAACCCTAAGCAAATCGACACTTACTAAAAATATTTTCCACGCAAGAAATACCACATGTATTCCATTGTATTCCCAATCAATGATCAACTGTGCAAATGCTGAAATAAATAGTAATACCATATTTAAGATTATAGGCTGATGCCCAGTCGGCGAACTGAGCTTGCTTTTCTCTAAGAAAAGTTGCCCATTGGACAGATTAATTAGGGTAATAATTTTTGTTCTAACTTCAAATGTCAAAATTGACAATAAGAAGAAATAAAGGTCCATTTCGTATATTAATAACTACAGTATTTTATAGGTGGATAAACAATTCAGGCATGTGTAATCCGGAGACTATGCATAAGAGTGAGGCATGACTAACACAAGTTAGAAAGCAATTAGCAATTGAAAGTTGAGAATAAATAGATGTTTGACAGCGCATATGTTTATTATTGGTGAATATATGACACGATTAATTAGCTTTAGCGTGTATTCATAGAATCTTTATTAAACCTCTTAAGGGCTCGACAGCGTTGATTGGACATCCGATAATGTTTGATAACGTTGTCATGTGGATTGTATCTAGTGCACTAATTATATCCAACTCTAGTACGCGCAAAAGTTCATGATTGAATTGACAGCTTAGAAGTATGTTTGTCGTTAGCTAGCCATGAAATAAATTTTTGAGGCTTAGACAAAGCCGCGCATCGAACGGAAAGCTCTCTATAGATTTGCTGACGGTCTTTCCTTTTTCGTTCGCGCGTGGCCGCCAAGGTGGGTCGCACCCCTGAAAGTGGTTGGTAAGATGGAATTTTTGTTTGGGATGATTGTTCTAAATATTGGTCGATACCAACGTGTTTGGTTTACTTTCAGGTGCATCGTCACATTTTGTGCTACAAGGCCGCTGCGCCACTGCATGCAACTCGGCAATTGCTCTTCGCAAACTGGCAAGGTTAACAGCATAGCAATGGAAGTATGCTGGATTTTAATGAGAAAAAGACAAGAAGGGGTTGTACCTTTCCAACAACAACAACAACAACAACAACAACAACAACAACAACAA